CGGGTGAGTCCCAGGAGCAGGGAGCAGGACCTCGTGGCTGGTGTCCAGCTCCGCGAGGTCCGCGCAGCCTTCTTTCCTCCCGGGTCCGCTCTGACCCGGCTCCAGGAAGGCGGTTCTCCCCGCGCTGCTCCCCGGCCCGGAGGCTGTGTCCAAGGCGGATCTCCAGTGGGCTCCCGGGGTGGGAGAGGACTCCTCTAATTCCAGGCAGTTACCGCCGAAGATACAGGGGACATTTGGGGATCCCTAATTTGTGACTCATTATTGACTAGAGCAAAAGCTTTCAGAAATAGCTTTCTGGTCAAAATTTATAAATTTGAAAAATCCACTGCACATCTTTTGCAACGTGATCAGCTGAATTTCCCTGTGCACCTCAGTGTGCTGCTCACAGTGGGCTCTGGGTGAGGAGGGGCTCAGACACCTCCACCTCCATGTCCACTGCCCATCCTACACTGACACCAGAAAGCAGAGAGCCGGAGGAAGAACCAGAGCTCTCCCTGCAGTGCAGCCCCCAAAGGGACCCCAAAGTCCAGAGGCTCCTGGACATCAGTGCTCTGAGGATCCCAGCCACGGCTTTCCTAGGCAGCTGGTCAGGGAATGGCCTGAGCCTCTGCTAACAGGTGGATATCCTGGCTGAACAAAACAGACCTGTGGCCATGTGGTGGGCCCTTCTGTGGCCCTACTGTGTTTCCAGGCCTAGATGGGGAGAGAGACAGGACTGACACTGAAGGTCTGTGCCACCCCACAGTGTCCAAAGGGAAAGGTGCTGGCTGGTCCAAACACTTTAAAACCTCACTCTGGACCTTAGCAAGTGACCTCGCCTTGGGACGTCCATCTGTGAAATGAAACCCAAGAGGCATTGCCCTCCTGCACACTAAGAGAGGCTGGGGAGCCCTTGCAGACTGAGATGAATCTTGCTGCCGATGGACTGTGTTTCAGATGTGCTGTGGCCTGGCCATCGGCATCCCACTGACCTCTGGGCTTTTAGTGGCCACTTGTTCCACTCTCCAACACAAGATCCCAGCACCCAAGGATCAGATCCTCATCCAAACTGAGAGTCAGGAAAGCTCCAGGGCACAGATGCCTTTCTCCTCTCAGGGCTGCCTCTGCCCAGACAAAACCCTCCAAAGTCCCCGGCAGAGAGCCTCGAGGGCAGCCCAGTGCAGAGGGGCTGCCGCCTGAGCGTTGGGTCTTGGCAAGCAGAGGATGAGGTGCCGGTATCAGGGTCCTCCTAGCCGTAGAGGCCAGATGGCATTGAGTTGGCCTGGCCATGGGTGACAGCTCTCCCGGATCACACAGGATCCTGTTGGAGACGGGCAGGGTCCTGCGTGGCCCGAGAGCTCAGTGTGTGCAGGCTGGCCTGCGACCCCCAGAGAGGCTGAAGCGCTAGGCCCCAGGACCTGTGGATGTGAACGTATTTGGAAGTCAGGTCTTTGCAGATGATAAAGCAGGTGAGATCAGTAGGCCCTGTGCGGCGTGACGGGGACATGTGGATAGGGACGCACACTCCCAGGATGAATGCCGTGGTAAGACTGACCAGTCATTGGAAACTGGGGAGATCTGGAGACCAGAGGACGCCCCTCTGGGGCACCTTGATCTCGGACTTCTGGCCTTAGCTGGGCGAGACGGCAAAGCTGGCTGTTCTATCCCAGTTTGTGGCCGTCTGTAGGGAGCCCCTGGAGTCTCTAAGAGTTGATGTGAGCAGCCCGTCCTGCCCTGCAGGCTGAGCTGGCTCAGAGGCCAGGGGTGTCCTCCAGGAGTGTCCTCCAGCCGCATTCAGGGGTGTCCATCTCCCAGGAAAGGGCCTCTTCCCTCTGCCTGCCCAGTTCAGCCTTGGTTGGAGCCACCGTGGGAATCAAGGCTGGATGACCCACAGTGGATCCTGGGGTCAGGAGGACCCTGTTGGAGGAGGCTAAAGGTATGAGGAGACACAGGCAGGAAGTGACTGAGGAAGATGTGTGTCCTAGAGACCCCCAAGACAGGTGTGCCGTGGGTGACATGGGGCAAGTGCTCGGTCCTGGTCTGCTTGTGCGGCGGCAGCAGAACACCTGAGATGCGTGATGGCCAGGACCAGAGCCTGGGAAGTCCAAGACCAAAGGGCCAGCAAGCTTGGGGTCAGATGAGTGACCGGCATGTTCTTCCAGGATGGCCCAGGAGCCCCACATCCTCCCGGGGCAGAGAGCGGGGAGGGCAAGCCCACCCCCGTGGGCCCTCTTGACCGCAGACCTGTTCTTTCCTGTTCTTTCCTGTTCTTTCCTTCTCCGAGTTCAGGTCACTCTGAGTTCATCCTCTCTTGCGGTGGGAGGGACTTCAGACACCTCTTATTTCTTGCTGGGCATTTCCTGCCCAGCAAGGCTCCGCCTGAATCCCACAAATGTCTTTCACTCTTTATTGGCCCTTTCCCCAGGTGTGTGGTTGTGCATTAACTTCCAAACGTTTGGAGATGTTCCAGACACATCTGTGGTGACGTGAATGCAGTTCCTTGTGGTCACGGCACTTTGTCCTGGGAGTGCAGTCCCTTTATGGCCTGTAGTTTGGCATCGTTTAAAAATGTGTGGGTGGAGGGCTCCGGGATGCCACCCAGATCCAGCCGGCGGCTTCTCTTTGAGTCTCTGAGTCTTCGTTACTTGTGGTGCCTCGTTCTGCAGTGAGGCGGTCACTGTGGCTAGGGCCCTGTCCGGGTCCCGTGTGTTCTGAGGCTGTGGTGCTGGGTGAGCATGGATCTAGAGCTCTGCCTTCTCTCCGTGAGCCCACTTCTATCATGATGCCTCTCAGACTTTGGTGGCATGTCCCATCCTGAAGTCCACTCTTCTGATGCTGGCGTGGTCACTGCAGCCCCTGAGTGCAGAGCATTTGTGGTGTGACTTCCTGTCCTCTGTGTTTCGTCCTTCTGTGGCCGTGCCTTTCAGGAGGGTCTCTCACAGGCAGCGTGGAGACACATCGTGCTTCACCAGCCCGACTTTAGAAAGCGCTCTGACAGCACCAGCAGACGGTGCACGCTCGGCCGCCTCGCGCAGGTTGAAGCCTTCCATCCTGCCTGTCCCAGGTGTCTTTCTCTGTGTGGCTTTCTGTGGACCCCGTCTGTTCTCACTGTCTCCACCCGGGGCCCATCAGCACTCCTCCATTTGGTTTGTGAGTGTGCTGCAGGGCTCAGCCAATGTTGCCTGGGACCTTCGGATCCTCGCACCCCTTCACGTGGAGCTGAGGCCTCACGCGGGGTGCGTCCACGGCGCTTGGGCTTTCTCTTCTTTTCCCTGCCTGCCGGGGGTGGAGCCAGGGCCTTGGGCAGGCCAGGCAAGCGCTCTGCCACTGAGCCACACCTCCAGCCCTTTTCAAGTTCCATTTTGAGACGGGGTCTTGCTGAGTGGCCCAGGCTGGCCACACTCGGGATCCTCCTGCCTCAGCCTCCCAGGTCACTGGGATTTCCGTGCCTGGCTGCACTGCCGTTTTGTATGTTGAACAGTGGTATTTATCATTTTCCCTTCGGCATTCACTCATCTTTTCAGAGGTTAGACAGATCCCTCCGGGAAGCCTTTTGTATTCACTGTATGTCTGCCATTTCCAGCATGTTCTTTGTTCAGGTCTGAGTTTCTTCTTGGGTTCTTCTCCTTCCTCCTAGAGAAGTTTCACTGACATTTTTGAGTGCAGAGCTGCTTGCCAGGATCTTTTGGATGCATGGCCTGACTGTTTTAATTCTGCCTTCACGTTTGTAGCATTTTCCTGATGAACACAGAATCCTAGAACAAGTTTGTACTCTGTCAGTGGTTTGTTTGCTTCGGTGGGTCTTTCACGTTCCTGCCGATACTTGGTGTTCGCACTTTCTCATTTCAGGCAGTCCAGTAAGTGTAGAGGTATTTCACTGTGACATAAACTTGCGTTCCCAAATGAGTAATGCTCTAGAGCCTCTTCTCGTGTTCCCGTTTGCCGTCCATAAATCTTCAAGGATCTGTCCAATTACTTTCTCAGTAAACTGCTCATTCATTCTGGGGAGTGGTTCGTGCCTGTAATCCCAGTGACTAGGGAGGCAGAGGCAGGAGGATCACAAGTTCAAGGCTCCCCTCAGCAATTTAGCGAGGCCCTAACCAATTTAGCAAGACCTTGTCTCAAAGTAAAATGTAAAAGGGCTAGGGATGTGGCTCAGTGGCTAAGCACACTGGTACAAAAAGTGTTTATCCATTTGTCATTCTGAATCTAGTTCTGCTGGACACATATGATCATCCCAGGTCTGTCTTATCGCTGCTGTAACCAGATTTTCCTTTCTCTTCTCTTCACCCTTCCCCACTCCCTTCCTTTTTCTCTGTTTTGAGATGGGGTCTCTCTTTGTTGCCCAGGCTGACCTTGGACTCTAGGGCTCCAGTGACCCTCCTGCCTTGGCCTCTGGAGCGGTGGGGACTTGGGGCTCAGGCCGACCTGCTCCGTGGTCTCAGGAGGGCGGTGCATAGTCACAAAGTTCAGCTGGTCTTTCTAAAGGGAGCTGCTGCGGTGACACAGCCAGCGGCTTCCTGGGTGCTCTCTCCTGCTTCCTCCAGGGCGTCTGCAGCGCACCCTGGGCTGTTTTTTAGGGTGAGGGTGCAGACGGGAGCT